GCCACCTCTCTGTTGCGTAGGGAAACGTAACCCTTCAGTGACAGGGAATGCATGTGGACGCAGCTGGAGAAAAAAAACAGATTGACAAGGGAAGGGTTTCAGTTGCATGGATCAGGGGTTGCAACCCAGTGATAAATTTAAGATAAAGCCATAAACACCCCAATGTCATTGCTCAGTGAAAGGGGACCTCCATAGGTGCTGTTCTTTCAAGGATATATGTCAATGTGTCTGCATTTTGCTGGCTGTGGCTGGAGAAGGATGGAGTGAAATCACTTGGAAAGGGAAGAGGGTAGGTTGAAACACAGGGCTAGGAGAGATTGACGTTAAAAAAGATAGAAGGTGTAAGAGGGGAAATAAAGTGGGACTCAAGTCTGCAGGGTCTCGCTGCTTCCCCCTCCATCAGCAAGCAGCAGCACATCTCATTGGCATAGGGCATCTTACTCGGTCCACACAGAGCCAGCTACCTCCTGGGCACAGAAAGCGCCTGGAGAGAGATCTCAGAGATCACGGTGCCACAGAGAATCCGGGTCTTCACAAAGTGATCCTTCGTGGTGGAATTTACTTTGCAAGTACCCCATTGCTGTTACCAAAAAGACATGACAGGATTTTTAAGGGACTCGGAGGCAAATGAGCTCTCAAAGGCAGTTCCTTGGAGACCTGGTGCAGACCTTTGTGGCTCTGCCTTCTGCTTCAGGCTCTAATAGCACATCATGTTTTTCAACTTGCTTCATCCAGTAGTGAGGGTGGACGCTGCTCTCCACCTCTTCAGGAGTTAACTCAGGGGTGTCCCCACAGATATTTTGATGGTTGCATGATCTGTCTTGCAGGGACCTGGTTACCATGACGTGTGTTGGATATAGTTTGTAGCTTGGGGCAGTCCCAGGGCAACAGGGGACCCCCTAACTGTGCTATGCACATGCCTTCAGAAGCTGCGGTGCAATGGGTGTGTCTGCAGGGCTTTTAATCCTGGCTTTCTGTTTTTCCCTTCACAGAAGCTGCCTTATGTGTATAGAGCCTGCAATCAGCACAAAGCATCTTCACTACCAGAGCTTCCAGCTCTTTGGCTTTGACTTCATGGTGGATGAGGAGCTGAAGGTCTGGCTGATAGAAGTCAATGGGGCCCCAGCGTGTGCCCAGTGAGTAATCAGTTTCTATTATTATACTCTTGTGATGCCCCCATTCACATGCTTCACCCAGAACATGGCAGTGTCCCAGCTCCAAGTGAAAAAGGTAGAAGGAAGTGAATGGTAGGGGAGTTTTCCAGACTAACCCATACCAAACACTGCTCTAAGTGCCAGCTGATTTGAGTTCATTGCTCCTGTCTCTGTTTTTGGTATCCCCCAGCTTCTTTCCCATGTGAAATGGGGCGCTAACCTCAAGTTTTGGACAAAAATGGATTTGAATATAACTTGGGTCTTTTTATTGACACTATTGGGTTGAAGTTATATTGCCGAATTAACGCTTTGGGAATCAGGTGGTTTCTCGGTCTCTTTTGTGGAGCCACTGGTGGCTGGTCTTTACCTGAACACGTGATAAATGAGTAGAGTTAAGGGCAGCAGCTGGAAGTGAGTGACTGAATTTGCAATCAGCAGGACCCCAGAGCACACTGTGGATGCTGCAGACATTGGATCGAAGCCTCCACCAGGCACAGGGAGGCAGGGAGAGCTGAACAGCTGTGGCTGTGAACATCTCTGCATAAGCACAGCAGGAGGAGCTGGTTTATGTGATTGAGACAACTGCAGGAGACTAGAAATCTTTGCTAAACAGGCATCTGCATCATATACAAGCCCAGCAAAACAGAACAGGCTGTACATCACTATGTTAGAATTTGATTACACTAGATGTAGATTAGATTTGATTAGATCATCCCTAACAGTAGACAAAAAAATACGGGCCAAACCTACCAGACAGCCTGTTCAGCAGCCTTTTTAGAGCTAGGACTTGAGGAGCTTTCTCTGTCCTGGATGCCCTGTTCACCATGTGCGCCATGGTGCAATACTGCCTTGCACGTCCTTGTGTTGCTCGCTGTATGGGTAGCATTTGGCTGTCGCTGGGTGGATTTGGGTTGCAGCAATGCCCTGTTTGCTTTGTGCCTCTATGGGCACTTGGAAGCCATCAAAAGCAGCTGAGGTTGGGTTTGGCTGCTTGTGGCTTCTTCTCTTCAGCGTTATTCTAATTTATAGCACCCATATCACACAGTTCCCATTTAAGACACAGAAATTGGCTGAGGAACACAGGAACATTCCCAGGAGCTGAAGAAGTGTCTTACTGTTATGTAGCCTCAACTGCATACGATAAAATACATTGTTAATTCTAGTGAAGGCAGCTTTGGTACTAAAAATCTCCCAGATGCCAGCGTGTTTAGGTGTACACTTGTACACGTGTATTTCCTTCAGAAGAAAAAGTCTGGGTCCTGCTCAGGAGCCTATTCTGACAGTAAACTTAGATAATGGGGTTTGTGGTCCTGTCTGGCAGAGAACAATATTGGGAATGGGAGCACTGTTGAAAAAGCAGACGGTTGCTGGGATAGGCAGGGAGGAGATGGAAGAGATGCCACCCTCCTCCCGTTTGCCACCTTGGAACTACCTGTAATGGGATCAGGATCTTGTAGATCTTGCTGGGAAGATGCACATCTCTATAAAAATTGGTTGGAGGCCTGCTGGCTTGTCTTGCCTGGGCATCTGATTCTTTCTCTCTTTGTCTCTTAGGAAGCTGTATGCAGAGCTCTGCCAAGGAATTGTGGATGTAGCCATCTCTAGCGTTTTCCCCCTCAACGACACTGGGCAGAAGGCGAGCCAGTCGTCATCAATCTTTATCAAGCTGTGATGACAACAGTAATGCCTCTGCTGTGCACAGGGAGAGACTGCACCCATCGGGTCAGCACAGTTCAGTGGCTTATCTCAGTATCATGCCAAAAAGTGATAGAGACGGGCTTCTTATTTTCTGGAAAATCATGGGGAAAAACAACAAAACAGGCATCCACACAGAGCTGCAGTGAGCCACAGCTGCTCAGACAACTCTGCCTGCATTCACCAAAATCCACTTTAGAAACAGCTCGTGTGACTTTGATATCTGAAACAAATCTCTCTGGGAGAACAACAAAATAACCTTAAAATGAAACCCCAACAGGGATACTATAATACTGTATTAGTTCCTCCTTTTCTATAGAGGTAACATTGGGTTTTTTAAGGAAATTGGGTGAAGAGTACGATGATCTTCTAAGACGTCGTGGCTGGGAAGTTGTCCTCCTCCTCCTGTGTTTCTTCTTTCCTCACCTACTGCATCATTAGTGCCTTAGCTCAGCTCCAAATAGGTGACTCCTTTCCTTTGTTCCTGCTCTTATTACGTAGAAAGGAGCAAGCTCTCTGGCATCGCAGGATGCCTAAAAACCAGGAACACCGAGAATTCAGTTTCCTTAGGTCATTTTTCCAAGCTGGTTGGCTGAACACCCAGGCAATGGCTGGCGAAAGGGTGCTGAACTGCAGGTGGTGAATTAACCCAAGCAAGGAAGGGAATTTTGTTTATTTATAGCTATCCCTTTTTCCTAATGAGATTTGAATCAGTGTCCATCCCTGGTGCAGTTGGATTTTGTTTAAAAGAGGTAGAGAGACCCTCTCAGGGCTCACCAGCAGGCTGTAGGATTTTTAGCATCACTTTTGTGCTAAGTGTGTTTCAAATAGCAGAAACCCAATCTCCTCAGTTTCTCCTGAGACACTGCAGTGAATTTAGGCTCCTCTCAGCTTTCACCTTCATGCATTTGAGGCTTGAATCTGAAACCTTTTCAGCCCAAATGATTTTTATCCTGTTTGATCCATCTGGTTTTATTCTCCTCCATTTGACAAATATTGCAATTTTCTGCCCTGAACACAGTCCACAGCTTGGTCCCAGCTAGGGGGGAAGGTAGGTGAGGTTTTGTAGACCAGGAGAGAAATCCCTGTGTATAGGTTTGCCACACAGCTGGGAAGGCAGGTGGGTTTTTTTGGGGGGGAGAAGAGGTTAAATTTCTTGAGGTCCCTGAATTTCAGAGCTAATATTTACTTTGAATATAACCTAAATCCCTGGCATATTGCCCACCCTGTGACGTGTATCTGAATTTTCAGCGTGAGCCCAGCATATCCCTGCGAAGCTAGAGTTCCTTTCAGAGCACAGTGGCATTTGTAACAGCAGTGGGCTTTGTGGGGGGATGTTCAGGGCCGTGTTCTGCTGCCTCTGGGAGGGAGAGATGGTTGGCACCAAAATAAACTGGTTCCTGTTACCCAAAAAACAAACAAACAAGAAGAGATTGTGGAGGTTACAAGCTTCTGGCTGCCTGTGTGTAATGGGAAGTGAATCAAGCAGTGGGATTTCTGCCTCCCTCAGAAGATCCTAGCGCTTTCATGTACTCATCTCTGCTCGTGACAGAGATTTCAGAGGTCTTCAAGCCAGCAGACGATCCTGACATCATTCTGTAGGCAGGACTGAAATGCCGAGGCCTCCTTGGAGTGATGCATTTTGATTGTGCTGCCATGGGATGGACATTCCTTGCAATGTGCTGTGAATCCACAAGTGGCACCATTTCATACAGGGCCACTCAAATCCAGGAGGGAACATTTTTTTTGCTTAACAAAAACCCATGGAAGCACTGCAGAGAGGGCACATCCCAAAGAACTGCACAAGCACCTCTGAAGTTGTCAACGCCCTGAAGCACAGCGTGGATCTGCATCTGCAGGGGGTGTGGTGGACACAGGGTGCACTGGTGCACACTGAGAAGTGACAAGGAGCAGGAGGTGTGTGAAAACAGGGCTGCAGCTTTGTTCCCCTGCGCTGCAAGTGCTGGTGGGTGGCTTGGCTTCCAGCGAGACCCCGAGTACCAGGTCTGGTCTCTGGATTTGGGCCTCATGGACGTTCAGAAGAGGGACCATGTATGCATAATTTCATGAGATGGGAAGCGCTGGGTGATAAACTGGGAGAGGGGTGTGAGGGAAGGACTGGTTGGTTTTTTTAACCTTATGATAGCACATAGGTGTCAACATTTCACTGCAGGCCAGGTAAAGCATAGTGGTAACACTCCAAGGTAAAATGTAGGCTCTAACGGTTGTTACTCTACTTGCGAAGTTCACCATGTCTCCATTGGCATTTTCAGATGTTAACTCGTGTGACCTTGAAAATACACCTTTTTGCCCAGCAAAGGGAACATCTAGTAGCAACCCCCCTGGCACAGGATGTACCTGAGGTGACAGAGGAGATGTTGGGCTCTCACAAGCTCTAGGGCAGACGAGAGCAGAGCGCAAAGTGAGAAGAGAAAATTTTCCCCATCATAATGAAATGAGAAGTGTTCATTTTCTGGGGTGATAGACCCATCCCGCTTTTCCCCTCAAAAGGGAAATTAAAAAAAACGAATCGCTCCCTTACTGCATAGTAATGTGAGATTCCTGCCAATGTAGTGGGATAGGGGCAAGAGAGCTGCCTGGATGTGGGCAAAAGCAGTGGGCTCCACTGGAGCAGCTGGTACCACCAGGAGCAGCAGTGTCTCAGGAGCCTCTGCCTAACTCCAAGGCCTTTCCTTCCCCCTTTTTCACCTGGGATTGTGTTGTGGCATGTCAGCAGGTGGCCATTTTTGCTGCTGAGCTGAAAGTGGGTCTTCAACCTGATGGTAAAGCCATGACCACAGGCGATGCAGCTGTTCATACCCTGCCTTTTCAGCTGGGCTTGGGGGAGGCAGTGATTCAGGGATGCTCTAATTGTTGGCTTGTTTGCTGAATTTTTCAGGAACAAGCGACAACCTCTGGAGGAAAACAGCAGGTATCGCATGTATTTACTACCTGTTCTCAAAGTGCTCCCCAAGGTAAAAGCACAGGAGATAAGTGATAAACTACAGAGAGCACAGTGCCTAAGGTCTTGCCCAAAATATTAGCTACGAGGGGGAGTAAAGGATGCGTATATGGCTGAGACCTGAGCATTGCAGCCGTGGGTGCACCTTGCAAGTGATACTCACAAGCCCTTGTGAGACTTTTGTTTGTTTCTTTTTTTAGGAATACACAACAATAAATGTTTTCTAGCTTATTTCAGCTAAAAGGTCAATAGAAAAGGTCTTGCTCTCATTCCTGGGCTTTCACAAAGGATGGCGCTGGGTTTCCAGAAGACACCTACCATATTGCAGAATGTTTCTAGTCTTAGTTGTATCCCTTCATGTCGGCCATGAAGGATTTCAAGCCCAGGTGCGCTGGCTGCGGTTTCCAGCAGGGTCTGGTGCCGCTGGACTCTGGGTTTCAGGTGACTCTCATGCGGCTTGTCTCATACCAGGTTAGTCATGATTACCACGCAACAGCTATTGTGTTCCTGCCAAAATCTGGTGTCTGGCCACAGCCCACGGAAAACACTGGAGAAGTCTAAGAAAGGCTCAAAAGCCGCTTCGTCCAGGTGGCCCGGCTTCCCAGCCCTGCTGTGACCGGCGCCTTTCAGGACTGCTTGCATGTCGCTGCTCCCACCATTTGTTGTTCTCCACTTGCAGATCTGCCCTGGGAGAGCAATGCTGTGTCGTATGTAGGTTCATAATCATATCTCATTGCCAGTGTCTGCTATGGCAGCCCTCAGAAAATCCTGGTGTCGAGAGGGTGGTGGGGTACATACAGCGCTGCCAAGCTGGCAGCAGACCGGGCTCAAGTTCATGTCTCCCGGCTGCTCTCACGTCAGCATGTGCGTGTGGGGCCAGCAGGTACCTGAGCTCGTGGATCTCCGGTGACTCTATCCACATCTCTCCTAAACCGTCATTAAAACATGCAAACCCTCCAGCCTGCGGTGTTTCCTTGGGGCAGTGGGTCCCCGGGGTAGCAGGTCCCCCAGAAAACCTTCCTGTGGGCACCTGTCATGAGTGTTGCCCCCCCCTGCCATGTGGGACTCCAGAAGCTGGCCCAGCCCTGCAAGCAGAGGTTTCTTCACCTCGAGGTGCCAAATGTGACACATCAACATGGCATGAGGGGCACTGGCTGGGAGCCCCCCAGGGCTGTCCCAGCATCATCAGGAGCTGGGGAGTGGAGGGGCTGTTTGGGAGTCCAGGGGTGCAGAGGCAGTAGCAAGTGATGGGGGGCATCACAGCTTCCCTGCTGCTGCTGCAGAGGCCCTGGGGTGCACATGGCTGGGGGGTGGGGAGGGCAGGCCCTGGGTGACATGGGGACACACAGCTGGGGAGTACCTACGGGGGGGGG